AACTGACAAGAACAGAAGGGAGTAACCTTGACTCTAGGATCACATGATCCTATATGGTAGCCGCAGCCTTGTGGAATTGCTTTTAGTTGAGTCAATGAAAATTAAGTCACATTTCAAGGTCCCCAGGGCCACACAAGGCTAGTGGCTACTATGATAGCTACATGGCTTTTCTTCTGCACAGAAAGTTCTGGCACGGGGCTGCTCTAGAGGATGTATTTGATGCTGGCAGTTCAAATTGATCACCCTTCCCTTCCCCTGCTTGGGGGAGTACTGAGTTTGAGTTTAGCTTCCTCCTGTTAAAACCTCCAGTTCTGGCGGGTTGCTGGTGCCTCACTAAGTCTAGCTACTTGGGAGGCAGGGATCAGGAGGATTGTGGTTTGAGGCCAGTCTGGGCAAATAGTTCTCTAGAGACCCTACCTGGAAAATACCCAACACAAAAAAGGTGGCGGAGTGGCTCAAGTGGAGGAGTGGCTCAAGTGGAAGAGTGCCTGCCTAGCAAGCATGAGACTGCATTCAAACCCCAGTACCGCTAAAACAAACAAACAAAACTTCTCCAGCTCTGTGCATCCTGACCTCCCTTAGCATTGGTAATTGGCTATGTTCTCATGGGGCCTTTTAGTGTTCACTGCCCATGAAGGGCTTTGAACTCGTGGTGTAGAAGGATTTGAAGCCCTTCAGGATCAAAATTTCAGATTCAAGCCTCGCTTCTGCTCCTGAGCTGTGAGCATCCCAGGGATGGAGAGTGGGTGAGGCCAGATTGGGGCTACTTCCTCCCCCGACCCCCACGCTGCCCAGGCCTGTCTGCTCCTCCCTCTCCAGGAAGTCTCAGCCACTAGTCTGCCCCTCAGTGCCAGAGCCTCTTTTCAGGAAGTCCTCATTCTTCTCGGCCTCTGGCTCAGCTGGCTGCGGCGCCTCAGCCAGGATCTGAGGAGATCTCACTCGAAGCCTCCACAGCTGCTTAGTGTGATCCCGTATTGTGGACCGAAAGTCTGTGGCCCCCTAAATCCATATGTGGAGGTCCTGATGCCTATTGTGATGGTGATTAGAGATGGGACCTCTGTGAGCTCAGGAGGATGGGGATTAGCCACCTATAAGAGCAAAGCAGCTCCTATGATCCCCATCCTTCAAGTGCACACACTGAGTCCAGTCTCTCCTGGCTGTGGGACACTAACTTGACGGCCACGTTAGTGAACCATGCTTGTCCAGCCTTCAGATGCGACCTTAGGAATGACCCTGAGGGAGTTTCATTTTCCTATTCACCAAGTCCACTGCCAAGTGGTCAGGCAGTTCACTTGTAGCTGTGTCCCCCATCCCCTGCCTTTCTTCATCTTTTCCCTATTAATAGCAGTGCTATAGTAAAAATTGTTTTAAATCTTCCTGAATCTCCAGTATTTGCTGAGGGTCAATTTCTAAAAGCATTCCTGGATCAGAGTACAGACTATTGATCCAGAATTTAATGTGTGGGATTTTGTTTGGGTTGGTTTTTAGACACCTGATTATACTGTCCTCCAGAAGAGGCCACAGTTGTGTAGCTCCTCACCTCCAGTGTTTGGAAGGCTGGATCTGGGCTGGATTTTCTTTTGCTTCACTGCCTTATTTTGTTTTCTCATGGAATATCCAGAAAGGTGTTACCTACGTTCTTATCGATGGATAATACATTTTCAAGGGACAAACCCTGAAAGATATACAAATACATTTTCTAAAAAGTTTTCCTCTCTCCCTTGTCCCTTCTGTTTTCCAGAAGGCTTCAGATATAAGTACTTACATGCCAACAACACTCTTTTAAATGAGGCAAAACAAATGGAACCATGGGGTGCACGGGGACAGAGAGCCACCTTTGAGTCTGATTGCATCTTGGTTTCAAGATGAGGGGAAGGAACTGCCAAGGTCAGGTTCTGGAGGAGGCAGAATCCACACACTGACCCAGCCACAGGCGTGTGGGCAGGGCAAGATGTTATTGTCACTCACAGGCTGGGTCAGGACAAAGCAGGAGGACCGTGCAGCATCTTCTGATCTAGACATAGTTAATGACAGTTGGTTCATCTTGATTCACCTTCCTCACCCTTCAAGATGGGCGAGGGAAGGAAGGACTGGGATACTGGGAATTGACAGCAGGTGCTTACAACAAATTCTTGGAAGAGAGGCTGTTCCTAGTGTGCTGTTAGCACATGAAGATGCCCGAGTTCTAGAATCGAGTGTGTCCAAATGATCTCTCTTCTGGCGGCCTAACCTGGCATCCTGGCCACAATCCCTTCTGCCCTGGGTCTGCCTCTTTCTTGATCAGAGAATGAGCCTCAGAGTTTTTGTTTTGCTTGTTTGTTTTACGCTCTAGGCTGTGCAGGGGAGAGGCAAACCTTGGAGATGCAGAGTCAACAGGGCTATTATCTAAACATCTTAAATGGCTCCTAAACCCTGATTAAAATTACACATCTCAGAGAAGAATCCGATCAACACCATTGTTGTCATTCCCTTTTAATGACAGGGCAGCTGAGGCCTGGAAGGCAGCCGAGCAACGTTCACATGGTCATATGCTTCTGGAAAATCTGCCAAAGTGAGATCTTTTAACCTCACTCTGTTAAAACCCAGCTGACTTCCCGTTTTGTCAGGTTATGTTGGGGAATCTGGTCAAGAGCTTTGATAGTTTGGAGGAAATATTTATATTGTTTCCAGGCACTTTTGTGAATAATTACTAACCAACCTGCTATAGAAATAGCTTCAGGAGAATCCCTACTGAGCTCACTGAGCTAACTAAACCTGGCTTAGTGATATGAGAGTGCAGGGTCAGAGGTCCCATCTCACACATACATGTGTGGCCGTTCAGTGCTCGACGCCACATGTATGTGGCAGTAGAGAGGTTTGAGAGTCAGAAGTTAATTTCTAGGAAGTGTGACACAGGTACATCAAACAGGCACTTACCAAACATCATGCTAGTTTTCTGTTTTGTTGTGGAATCTGTCACTTGTTATAGTTTCTTTTGTGTTTCTAGCCAATTCTTCACCTTATTACTCAAATTCATACTTGCAATTTTGTATTCCTTTTCTTAAAGAAGTCCCCCTAAATTGTACAAGCACCAGGAAGTACAAAGCCTGGACCTGTCCTGCTCAGCGTTCTCTTGAGTCTCACAGGGTCACTGCACCCACCTTGCTCTTCCTCACTGCTATTGCCAAACGGTTCTTGTGTCTGCAAGGGACTATGGTGGAGTGGTTCAGAGGACTTGGGTGGATCTAGACAGATCTTAGGATTCTCACACATCAAACAGGAAACCTAAGATCTCCCTCCTCAGACAGTAAGGAAGTCAAATGAGATAATGGGTATAAGGCATCTAGCAGAGGGTGCAGTTAGTGCCAGGGGTGGCATTTAGCTGTCCTCATAGACACAGCCAGACTCCCTGTTTACCGCACTTGTTCTAAACTGGTCGGTGCCCATGCTAAACGGCACAGCCATTGTTAGCAACTGATACATTCTTAGCCCTTCCTCTGCCTGCCCAAGGTATGTGTACAGTGAGTGCTCAATTATTGGCAAGGGAATCAAAGAATAGAAAACAGAGGGTGGCCCCACATTGAGCAATGTAGATCCCAAAAATGACTTACAGTTAATTTTATTTCCTTAAAATATGTTCCTGCTTGACATGTGCAGGGGTTAGAAATTCAGAAAATACACCAAAGTATAAAGAAGAAGTTAACTGCTGTTACAAGTAATTGTCCATAAACACACCATATTTTGATCATGGATTTATATATATATATATATTTATTTATTTATACTGTACATAGTGCCTTGAAGCCTACATTTAAAAATATAATGCTTTCAACTGGGTGCCATGGCTCAAGCTTATAATCTTAGCTACTCAAGAGGCAGAGACTGGGAGGATCACAGTTCCAGGCCAGCCTAGGCTCAAGAGGTAGAGTACCTCTCCAGAGGGATAAGGTCTTGAGTTCAAATGCTTAAAAAAAGCATTTCCCACATTTTTTTTTTTTTGCAGTACTGGGGTTTGAACTCAGGGCCTACACTTTGAGCCACTCCACCAGCCCTTTTTTATGATGATTTTTTTTGAGATAGGGTCTCACGAACTATTTTTGCCCAGGCTGGCTTCCAACTGCGATCCTCCTGATCTCTGCCTCCTGAGTAGCTAGGATTACAGACGTGAGCCACAGGCACCCAACTTCCCCCACATCTTTAAATATCGCTTAACGGCATCATTTTTAATGGTTGCATAATATTCCCCAGCAGAAAGTGGGGATAATTGCTGGCAGAGTGGCTCAAGTGGTAGAGCGCCTGCTTAGCCAGCACGAGGCCATGAATTCAAACTCCAGTACCACAAAAGATAAAAACGAAAGTGGAGATAATTAAAGGTACTACCTCAGAATGTTATATCACGAGCACAGACAAGAGTAAGTCATGGAAAACTACGTGACATGTAAAAAGCTCTATTAACATAGCTCCACCACAGGTGGATTTACATATTACCCATCCCCCTTTGATAAGCATAGAATTTTTTTCCCACAGTTTTGCTACCACGAATAACGCTGGGCAATATCAATCCTTGCTGATATCTTTAGTCATTTCCTTTGTAAATTTCGGGACTGCTGGATATGCACATTTAAAAAATTAACTTGCTTATCTTTCAGCAGTTAGGAGAGGGCTTGCCTGAGGTCACAAAGTGAGTTAGCAGCAAAATTGGGACCAGGAACCAGCCCGGTGTCCTGTCCTAGCCTCTCGCCCAGCTGGAAACCCAGAGAAAGTCCCGGGTGGAAGTGGGGGGAGGAGAAGAAAAGGAGAGGACTGGGCGCCGGGCTGCGGCAGCAGCCGGAAGAACGCGAGGCCAGCTGGGCGGACGGGGGCGGGACTGCCGAGTCTCGGCAGCGAAGCTCAGCGGTCGCCTGGCAACCGGTGCGGCGCGGCGTTCGAACGGAAGCGAGGAGCCAATCAGGACGTCCGGGGCGAACCATTCCGGTGTGTGTGTGGGGACGCTCATTTCCCTTTCCTCCGCGCCCGGGGGACCTTCGTCCTAGTGGGGGCCATCGGACATCACGGGCCTCCCTCTCGATTCCGGTGCGACGGGCAGCTCCGAAGAGGCCTCTGTGGTCCCCACGCGTGGCTGGGTTCCCCACCACAGGCAGGGGTCCCCACTGTGGGCCCGGGTCTAAGCTGTCAGCCGCTCCCCACTTCGCTGGAGGAGCCGGACACGCCCAGTACCGACTCCAGGTGAACTGCGGCTCAGCACCTGTTGGCCGCATGGTCCCCGCGCGGCCCCTGCGCACCCTTTCTCAGGTGAGGACGCCGAGGTCTCGAGAGGCTAGTAGTGCCCTAGCCCAGAGGGTGGGCAGGGAAGCCCATTCCAGTCTTCCGCGCTACCTTGCAGCCTTCAGTAAGGCAGAGAGGCCCAGAAGGGCAGCCCCTCCTCACAGGAACGCGGCTCGTGGAGTCCTGGCTGGATCACCTACCTGCCCGCTCCCCCTCTCCCGGCACTGTCCTCAGGGTGTCCTTCTGCACACCTGTCTTCCCTTGTCCAGAACGTCAGGGGTTGAACTCAGGATTCATGTGGTCCTCCTTCCGCCTACAGAGGTCTGAATTCCAGCGCTGTCCTCACAGAGGGCCTCTTTTTGGGGGATCGGACAGGACTGACTGTTTTGGGCTAGATTTGGGGTAGGCAGCAGATTCTCCTACCCTGGAAGTTTGCCCCAGTTTGGGGTAGAGGGAAGGGGCAGTTTCTAAGCCAAAGCCACTTGCTACCTGAGACCTTGGAATTGGGAGTGGGACCCTGACCCTCCCAGGTGGAGCATTTACTGAATCTATTCAGATGAGAATTACTGATCTTCTCCTAGGGACCCTCCTCCTGGCTTTGGGGACAGGAACTCAGAAAGAAAACAAGTCTTTCATCCAGTCTTTGCCTGTTTTGTTTTTCTCAGAAGCATTTGCTCCATCTTATGCCCTAAATAGTTCACCTATTAGCCAGTTTATTATCTTCCCTCGCTGGAATGTGACACAGTTTGGGGGCTAGGATGAGGCAAGTGAGGTTCTCACCACCACCACAAAATTTAGGAATGCCTCAAACCTTAGCAATTAAAGATATGTAAAGCCAACATCTGTTGGCCATTTGTTGTGTGTCCTGCTGGTGGGATGTCAGCTCAGCCTCCGTGGAGAGCAGTCCTCCATCTCCGGCACAATTAAAAGTGCACTGCCCCATCCAACTGTCCCAATTCTAGGCAGAATGATGTGGGTACATTGTTGCTTCAGTGTGGCTTGTAATAGACTGGAACTGGGCTAAGTGGCCATCAGAAGGGACTGATGGGAAATAATTATATACTCTTGAAGCACAAATATTATTGAGCAAAAGAGCAAAATGAAAACAGTCAATGCTGCAGGATGCTGTATGTGTGAAAAACAGACACCATGTGTCCACCCCAGCTTGCATTTGCCTAAATGTCTTGGGAAGGCCACAGAACTGTCTGCTCATAGAGGGCACTGCAAAGAGAAGACTGAGATACAGGTGGGAGCGAGGGCTTTTAAAAAAAATTATCTTCAAAGTTATTAAAGTTTGAGCCATGTGCATGTATCACTTCATTGAAAAACCATTAAATATATGTAAGATTGTGAGGTCACTGCCCTGCCTGTGATCTGTCACTGACTTGCTCTGGGACTCTGGGCAAGTTTCTTCACATTCTGGGCTGGGATGAAGCATCATGATTGTGTGCTCAGGCCTAGGCAAGAGCGTCTAGGACAGGAAGTGGGCTTGGCTGTGGGTCTGACTCCAGCCCTGCCTCTCCCCATCCTGCGTGCCGTGCCAGGCCCTTCCCTAAGGCTTTGCATATGGCATCTCTGTCTCTCATTCAGTCCCCACTGCAAACCCCTTTGTCCCCAGTTTGCTACCTCAGGTGCAAACTGAGGCCCCGAAGATTGAGTTAGTAGAAGTGGGCATATGGGTGCCCAAGGCATCCACACCCACGCCCCTCCCACAGCCTGCTCCTGCCTCCCTTCCTGAGGTTTGGGCACGGCTGACTCCTGGGCAGGCCAGGGCATGAGCATCAGGAAGACTCCAGAAATAGCTTGGGGCCTGGCGTGGCCCTGAAGGATGGCCAGCAGGGTGTCTCTGACCTGGACAGCTGGAGTGAAATTGAGCTGGGGCTGCCCTATTGGCTGGGCCTCTCCCTGCTGGCTGGAGCCTTCCTGATCCTCCTTTGGGGCAGGCAAGGACTTCCCCATTTTCTTTTTTTTAACCAGGACTGGCCCCAGCTTCTGCTTAAGGGTGCAGAATTTCATAAAAATGATGAGTGTCAGAAACCACACCTCCTACCCCAAACAAAGGATAAAACTCACTCACACATTTATCTTGAGTACTTACTTGTGTTAAGTACTTGACAAGTGTGAATGAATTCTGTCCTCTCTGTAAGGTAGCTACCACTGATATTTCTGTCTTACAGAGAGGGGAAAGTGAGTATGAGAGATTTAAAAACTCATACATCACCCAGAATTGGAATTCTGATCCAGGGAGTCTGGTTCCATATTCCACTTCCTTGTGTGTATATGTAAAACAATACCATCTTAAGTGTGCAGTTAGTGGCACCCAGTGTTCTGCAGCCATCACCAGCATCCATCCCAGAACTTTTTCATCTTCTCAGGCTGAAACTCCACACCCAACAACAAAACCTTCTCATTCTCATTGGCCACATCTCCATCCCTGTCCCTGGGTCCCTGTTCCTGGCAACTGCCTCTCACTTCCTGTCCCATGATTTTGACTGCTCCACACACATATAAATGCAGTCTCTGCCTTATTTCATTCAGCCTCACACCATCAAGTTCATTTATGTTGTTGCATGAGTCAGAATTTCCTTACTTTTTAAAGAAAGCTGAATGATATTCTATGATATGTGCTGGAGGTGTGACTCAAGTGGTAGAGCACCTGCCTAGCAAGCTTGAGGCCCTAGTTCAAACCCCAGTATGGCCAAACAAAACAAAAGAAAAGTATGTTATATGTCTGTAGCACATTTTGTTAATCCATTCATTCATTCACAGACACTTGGATTGTGTCCACCTTTTGACTGTGGTGATAATGTTGCTGTAAACACAGGTGTGGACATCTCAGTTGAAGTCCCTGCTTTCAGTCCTTTTGGTTATGCACTCAGAAGTGGAATTGCTGGGCCATGCCTGTAATCCCAGCTCTGCCAGAGGTGAAGATGGGAGGTTTGTAGTTTGAGTCCAGCCTGGGCAACAAGTTGGTGAGACCATATCTCAAAGAACAATCCAGGCATGGTGATGCATGCTGGGACTTCCCAGCTATGTGGGAGGTAGAGATAGGAGGAGTTTGACCAGAGGTCAGCCTAAGAACCTACCTAAAAAATAAACTAGAGCAAAAAAGGCTGAGGGTATGACTCAAGTACATAATGGCTGTCCTAATGGGTGGTGTACCATCCATCTGTGGTTTGGATTTGCATTTCCCTAATGAGTAATGATGCTAGCATCTTTTTTTGGGCTTGTGGACTTTTCCTTTGTCTTTTTATGCAGGGGAGGTGGAAGTGTTCAAGACAGGGACTTGGTACAGAGTTCAGGCTGGCTTTGAAGTAGCAGTCCTTTTGCCTCAGCCTCCTGAATGCTTGGATTATAGATGTGAACCACCATGGCTGGCTCTCTTTGGTTTATCTTCTTGGAGAAATGTCCGTTCAAGTGACTCCATGTTCTTTACCATCACCCACGCTACTCTTAGACGTGGAGCCTCTGGAAGCCTATGGTCAGCGTTCTTGTGAGGACCTCTTTCAGGAGCCAGGCCCTGGGAGGGTCTGCTCAGTTGTCACAGCTCATACTTTGGGTCAGTTATCATGCACAGACCTCGTGCTGGGAAGAAACCAGTGTTATGTCCGGTTTCACAGCTGGGGAAGCTGAGGCATGAAGTCTCCTTGCTAGCCAGTGGTAGAGTTGGAATTTGAAGTGCAGCAGGCAGGCTCTGGAGCCCATGCTATACCCCCTAGAGGAGGCTGGTGGAGCGGCCTGGCACTGGGGACAGCAGAGCCAGCCCTCACAGAGTTGGATGTGGCACTTTGCAGGAGGAACAGGGTTGGCTAGAAGTGGCTGGAACTCAGCTGGAATGGGGCAGCTTGGGGCCAGAGGAGGAGCAGGCTGGGTCTGGGGAGGCCGGTGGCAAAGTGGGGACTGGGAGAGACCTGATTCCGGGGACTTTGGTTGGTTTTCCCCACCCAAGATAATGATTAATTACAAAGGGAAAACAGAAACTGTACAGAGGGGAACTGGCAGGCAGGACCCTAACCAGTGAAGCAGTGGGTCACTAAGATTGCTGTCAAATGTTCCTGACAGGCTGCCGAGGACACAGAGTCCTTGTGTTTCTTCCTTCCTTCTTTCCCTCCTTCCTTCCTCCCTCCCTCCCTTCCTTTTTAAATTGAGGTGTGATTGACATGCAAAAACTGTTTGTATTTAATGTGTCCTCAATCGATGATATTTCCTCTCATGTTTGGTCCCTGGAAGGGCAAAATCTGGAATGGTGTGATGGCATCCGATGGGAGGATATGAAAGGAGTGATAAATAATTAAATACCTGAAATGACAAGATATGGTGAATGCTTGGAAGGAAACAAAAGGGAACAAGAGGAGAGGGTTGGTGGGAGCCTCTCAGGGTGGACAAGGGAGGCCTTTCAGAAGAGGTGGTATTTGAAGTGAGTCTGAAGAGATTCCAGGTAGAGAGCAGCTGGTGCAAAGGCTCTGGGGCAGAACGGACCTTGGTGTGTTTAGGACCAGCAGGGAGGGTGTGTGGCTGGTCCAGGAAGAGGTTATAGATGAGGTGGGACACTTGTCCAAGGACTTGGTCCTGGAGGGCCTGAGGACCCCATAGGGAGATTGGATTTTATTCTAAGGAAAGCACAAGAAGCTTCAGCTCTGCAGTAATAAGATCCAGTTTGTGGGGAAAACATCACCACTGCACCCCTATTTTATAGCTGAGGAAACAGGCCCGGAACCATAGCCAGGGGGTGTTTCCCAAGGTGGCTTCTCCTTCTGGTAACTATCACATCAGTGACCAAAGCCCCAAACTAGAAACTTTGTCTCTCTTCCTTCCCCTCCCCAGACCCAAGCCTAGGTTCAAATTCTGGCTCTGCCATTTGCCGGCTGTGTGATCTCAGTTCTCTACCTCAGTTTTCTTATCTGTAAAGTGGAGTAATAGCAGCGCTTATCTCACAGAGTAGGTGTGAGAATGAAATGACTTAGCATATATCAGGAGCTTAGAACAGTGCCTGGTGCAAAGAAAATGTCCAGAAGAAACAAGCCCTCCGCTTTTCATTAGGACAATGGCTTCCGTTGCTTTGTGGTTACCACTGTTAGTGCCTGAGGAGGCCTTCCTTCCCATCGCATGGCTACCATGAGGGCTGGGAGCCCGCAGGCCATAGTGGGGGACAGTATCTTGGGGAACAATGTGCTGTCCCTCCTCCTCATATCAAGGTCTAGACAGAGCTTCAGCACCCAGAGGAAAGGGAAGCTGACCCAGCCACGTCCTCGTCCTCCTGCCTTCACCCCAGTTCTGGCCCAGTCCCCTAGACACAGAAATGGAAGTTGATCCTTTTGGCTCTTCCAGGGGCTCCGGTGTGAGGCCTGGTGGGAGCCTCCTTTCCTGTGCTTTGGGATGGCAGTGGAAAATGGCCTAATCCAGTGTGCTCTCCTGGGCCTAACCCGGAGGCCTGGTGCTGGCAGGGAGACAGGTATTCCTTCCTTCAGGGCTGGCTACAGGGGTCAGACATTTAAATGAGTCAGTGCCTGGCACCCAGAACTCGCTTCTCAGGTTTGCACAAAGTTTCTGGGAGCATTCACAGGCTCTTGATGCTCTCAGTGGCCTGCCCCTGTGGGTGGCACTTTCCTCATTCGTAGAATGGAGGGCCAGCCACCTGCTCTGAGCAGTGCAGATAAAAAAGATGGAATTAGGCATGGTCTGGAGGGAAAGTGCCTAGGACTGGACTCCCCCTGGTGACTTTGGGCAAGTGACTCAGCCTGAGATTTCCATTAACCAAACAAGAGTAACAATAGCACTTACCTCCTATGGGATCTTGGGAAGATGAAAATGGGTTAATTGGTTCCTGGAAGGGCACTTTCCCAGGCCTGGCACAGGGACTAATAATTGGGGGTCCTCTGGCTGAGGGAGGGGGCTCAGTTTTTCCATCTCTTAGCTGGGGTGCTTCCCTGAATGTGTTCTGGGGACTCCATGCACCATATGAGTGGTGGGCAGTCCTGATTCCCAGAAGAGCTTTCCTTTGTGAGGCTGGAGCAGGCTGGACCCGGTTTGCACAGTCCAGCTGTGGGCCGTGCAGGGGCTCAGTTTCCTGACGCTCCCTCGCTTTCCTTCCCTCTTTTCAGGGGAGGGAAAATATCTGGGCCAGCGGGTTCACCTGCCCTAGGCTGCCGGAAGTTGCGCAAATGCAGGTTACCTGAGCCAGGTGGGTTGGGCTGGAGAAGCACAGGCAGTGGCTCCCTCAGCCAGGTAAGTGCCAGTGGGGACAGGATGGGGGGCATCTGGCCAGAATGGCCAGGGTGGTAGGTGCTCACCTTTAGGCCTTAACTGGCCACGGGGATCATGCCATCAGCCTCCTCATTTGAGACACAGGCCAGTCCAGGTTCAGAGAGGGGCAGCTGACAGCGGATGTGTCACATAGCCGCAGCTCTCCTGGTGGCCTTCTTCACTGCAGCCAGGAATCCCCAAGATTGCCTTGAAGGAGGGAGTGCAAAGCCAAAACAGGGAATCTGAGGTTCTTTGTCCCTCTCCGTGGTTCCCTGGGGCTGGGTAAGCCGGCAGGGACTGGAGAGCCAGTGGGGAGGGGCTGAGGTGGGGCTAAGTACCGCAGGGATGACAGATAAAGAGAAGGGTTCCAGGCCGGTGCATTTGGGTGGGGGCATTGGCTGGTGAGAGCTGGCCTCAGAGGGGACATTAAGTCCCACCTGGCGTCTGGGACCCTGGCCACTGACCTGACATTTGTTCTTGTGCTATGGAGCTCGTGTAGGTCAGCTTGCTGATTATCCCCTATTGTGTGACCCCTTGGGGCGGGCTTAGGGACCCTTCAGGGAGCCAGTCTGCCCTGTCAAAGTTGTATCATAGAAAGCAGCTGAGCTGTGTTCCTGGAGCACAGCCCTTTTGCCAGGTGTTGCCCTACATCCTGGACCTGTTTGATCTTTCAACTAACAGTGACCTGAAGGTGCAGGGAGGTCTATTTTTAACTTCATTTCACAGATAAGGGAACCCAGTCTGTTCAGAGGTGCAGCACCTTGCGCAAGGTGCACAGTGGGTGGGCCAGCCGTAGACCTTAAGGGCCCTGGATCCAGGCATGGTGACTCGCATCTGTCCCTGGCCCACCCAAGAGGAGTCTGGAGCCAGCAGGCTGTGGCTGAGGGGGATGGTTATTGAAGTGGGGTGCTCAAGGGACTTCTGCCCTGCCTGTCTGACCTTCTTCCTCCTTCTTTCCCCTGGTGCCTGGGAAGGAACCGCCTCCTTTGCCACCAACAGGTTGGACTGGTTTGGGTGGCAGCCGGTGGTGGTGATGGGGGTACAGTTTGGCTACCTTGACTGGGCTCAGTTGGGCATCTCTTTCTGTCAGACCTTTGCCGCGTGAGGTCTCCTGGGGATTCATCTGAGTGGAGCCAGCCTTCCTTGCCCACTTAACCCATCCCTTTTACCATGGGAGCAGCATTGGCTCTGGCCCGGCACTAAGGCTGTTGAGGCCTCAAACTGGGGGTGGGGTTTGTGGAGTAGATGGAGGGGAGCAGATATGTTTGTAGACATGTTTTGTTTGCCCAGTAATGCAATATTTAAAAAATTACTACTGATTATGCTACATCACTGCCTTGGGTCCACAGGCCTGGGTCCAGTGGATGGGACCTCCCTCTCTAGTCCATGCTTTGCTGGTTCCCTGCTGGCTCCAGAGGGATTTCAAGTTAACAAAGTCTTGTGAAATACCTGGCATTTAATGAGAGCAACACTGTGAAGCTGAGATCCAGTGAACCAAGCAGACTAACCTCCTTGCCCTCATCCAGCTGATAATTTAAAGGGTGGAAGACAGCAAAGAGTAAAACAGCCATAACCACAGTGGGGTGGATTATATGGTGCTGTGAGGGAGATAAGGAGAAAAGAAATGGGGGAGTGGTTTGCGAGTGCTGTGGGGAGAAACAGGGTGCAGTATTGGAATTAATGTGGCCAGGATAGGCCTCATATGAATTTGTACTCTGGAACCTAGTGCGGCCACTTCTGAATCTCAGCTTCTCCATCTGCAAAATGGATGGCATTGACCCACAGGCTGTTGACAATTATACAGGAGAGGTTGATGTCAAACATCCAGCACATAGTAGGGATTCCTGCCCACCCCTCCCCCAGTGCAGATTCCATCCCTCCTGGATTTCTGGATGTCTGGGTCGGGTGTCCTATACAGCTTTCTGCTGTGCTGTAAATGATCTATTCTGGGCTCTCAAGTGCAATGTCGAGACTGGAGCCACAGGGGGTTGGTGGCTATTGAATTGGACAGCACAGGTCTAGGTGGCCTGAATGCAAGTCCTCTTGGGGATCACAGACAAAATACCCTCCCCCCCTCCATTTCACAGATGAGAAGGTTTGGGACTAGGTGTATGGGTGTTTTCCATTTCCAAGGCTCTGGTCACTGGGGGAGAACGGTGGTGCTTTCTGGCCCTGGGCCTTCCTTGGAAACAGGGACTGGGTTGGCTTGATGCCTGGGGCAGAGCTGACATATGATGCTTGGGTGACAGTGTGGACACTTGCACACCCAGGCAAGGGTCTGCTGCATACCTCTATGTAGTACTGTGTGTCTGAGGAATTTCCAGCCTCCCTTGGAGTAGTGTGCAGTTAGGGCTGATGTTTCTACCTGACAGGTATTTATGGATCACCTTGGGCTTGCCTCAGAGTCCCATCCTAGAAGCTGACAGGGTCTGGACTCCACTGGGGTGGAGGTGGGGACTTTTTGCTCCTCCTCTACATGCTCTGCTCCTGTGCCTGAGGCCTGGCATGTCCAGGCAGGTGCATGGCACAGACCAGCTTCCTGCCTGGGTGGGTGAGGAGTGGAGGTGGTTTTGGGCTCCTGTGGGCAGTCCAGGTCGGGTGTGGGACTGGAGCCCTCTTTCTTGGTCATTTAACTCCCCAAAACGCCCATCGCTGGTACCTGCCTGCTTTGGGGCAGGGAGCAGAGCCAGCAGCTGGGTTAGCTTATTAAGCAAGTCATTCGCCTCCCTCAACTTTAGTTTCCCTATTTGCAAAATGGGGCTGATGAGAGGACGCTGGGATTGAGCTGGCTGTGCCCAGCACGAAGCCTGGAGGCTTGCTTTGCTGCCCTTAAAGTGAGTTTTGCCCTGCTTTTCTTCTCTAGCATCTCTAAATTTCTGTCTCAGCTGGGCCTGGCCCTCCCCGCCCCCCTACGCTGCGTAGGTGGGAGGGCGTGTGGGTGGGGCCACAGGCCAGGGAAGCCGTGGCTTCTGTCTGTTGATTGGCTCTCCGTGAGGCGGGGGCGTGGCCTTTACTTTATAATGGGGCAGGCGTCTCATCCTCTCGCCGGCTCTGCTGAGCCTTTGTCTGAAGGTGCTTAGCCTGTTTCTTTCCTTCCCTGTAGCCGTTGCGGGCGTGGAGCTGCCTACTTTCTGCCTGGATCTCTGACTCCTCACTTCTGTGGTCTCCTCACACCCAAGCCCTCGGGGTATGTAGCAGCCATGCCTGTGGACACCCTGAGTCCTGGAACCCCGGCCGCCCCCGCCCTACCTTTCCGCCTGCGGACCAAGGTTCCTGGCTACCTGCTACGGAGGCCAGCGGACGGCGCAGCTCGGAAACTCAGTGCTGTGGAGCGCCTGGAGGCCGACAAGGCCAAGTACGTCAAGAGCCTGCAGGTGGCCAACACCCGCCAGGAACCTGTGCAGCCTCTGCTGTCCAAACAGCCACTCTTCAGCCCTGGGACTCGCCGTACAGTGCTCACGCCTAGCCGCCGAGCCCTGCCTGGCCCCGGCCGCCGGCCCCAGCTGGACCTGGACATCCTTAGCAACCTCATCAACTTGTGTGATAGTCCCGTGTCCCCAGCTGAGGCCAGCCGAACCCCTGGACGGGCAGAGGGAGCCCATCAGGCCCTCCCAGCCACCCCTCCACGCCCGCCACCCAGTATCGCTGCGGTCCGCCGCGTGGACGTTCGCCCCCTGCCTGCCTCACCTGTCCAGCCCTGCCCTTCACCAGGCACTACCGCCGCCTCCAGCCCAGGGAGGCCACCAGGTTTGCAACGCTCCAAGTCGGACTTGAGCGAACGCTTCTCTAGGGCGGCAGCTGACCTTGAGCGCTTTTTTAACTTCTGCGGCCTGGACCCAGAGGAGGCACGGGGGCTGGGGGTGGCCCACCTGGCACGGGCCAGCTCAGACATTGTGTCTCTGGCGGGGCCCAGTGCTGGGCCGGCCAGCTCTGAAGAGGGCTGCTCCCGCCGCAGCTCTGCCACTGTGGAGGAGCGGGCTCGCGAGCGCGTCCCATATGGTGTGTCGGTGATAGAGCGCAACGCCCGGGTGATCAAGTGGCTGTATGGTTTGCGGCAGGCACGGGAGACCCCAGCGGCTGAGGGCTAGCTCTACACTGGACTCAGGATTTGGACAGACCGAAGGAGGGGAGTTGGCCTCTTGACGTCTCCTGCATCCATTTCTTGTTTCTGGGCAGACCAGAGGCAGCTCCCTTGTGTGAACTCGGTTTAGAGGCAAAGGCTCAGACCTAGACCAACATTCTATGACACGGACTGACCCTGCAGAGGGTTGCTCTTGACAAGGTTTTGTTTGTTTTTTTTTTTTTTTGACATATGTGTACCCTGCTTGGTTCCTCTAGTGAGGCTGAATTTAGGGTGTTTAGGCCTCCCCACTGAGAGTGAGGAGCCAAGCCTGTGTGCCCAGGGGCTCTGTTTTCTTTTTCCTTCTCTGGCCTCTGTCCTTTGCTGACTTCCTCTTCCTTCCCCAGAGGGCCCTGGCTTCCTGGGAACTCACCCTGGGGTGGGGGAAGAGAGGAGGGGACCTGTTTACTGCTCTTCCTGGTCTTTGGCAGCTGGCCTAGGTGGCTAGACTACAGGAGGGACTAGTTAGGAGTCTGCACTGCCCTGACTCCTCTCCCCTTGGTTAATAAATGCTAGTTTTTCAAGCACTGGGCCTTCAGATTCTTCTGTGTCACAGAAAGAGTGGGAGAAGTCTTGAGGTGGGGCCTTCAAAACTAAGTAATGGTTCACCCAGGACCTGAAGGAGGCAGGAGGTCCGTGACTGGCCTGACCTGAGACTTGCCCGCAGGGAGTCCTCATGGAAGAGACTGGGGCCCAACCACAGGGAGTGGGGACAGAACTGGGGTAGGACTGGGGTCTTTCTCTGCATTAGGAAGGGGGATGCAAGGGAAAGGCTAACAGCCTTGAAGGGTCACCCTGCCTAGTTCCCGAGGGGGGGCAGGAAGCTCTGAAGGGCAAACCCTGAACTTGAGTTCACCTGGGCTATAGTGTGGGTAGGAATTGGGGAGTTCTTAGAGGAGGAGGGACTTGGGGTGAACAGCACAGGGTTGGTATCCTTGCTTCTAACTGGCTGGTCCTGGACAGGCTGGTCTCACTCCTGGGCCTCAGTGGAAAGCCAGGTGGCACAGGCCACCTTGGGTCAGGACTTTGGGGCTCTTTGCACTTTATTCCAATACCTGAGGAAGGGGCAGGAGGGGTCTGGGATTTTGAGGGCTCAGCAACTTTTAGTCTCCTCTAAGTTTAATGACAGCTAGGAGGCTCTACCCTTGGCCACTGAGCAGCTATACACACAAAGGGTGACATGAGCACACAAAGGGGGCACACAAAAGGTGACAGGAGAGCCTGGGGTGGCATTACCCGCCCCCCAGGGTGGGAGTGAGGAGATTGGGTGGTGTTTCCTCCTGTAGGCTGCCTTCCTCCACTGCAGCCCTCAGAAACAGGAAGCACTACGGGTACCCTGGTGACAGGCTTGATGTCACCAGGCTTTATTTTAAGAATAAAAAGGAGATTTCCGCTGGACTGTTGACAAACGTCCAGGTCAGTCCAGCTGTCTGTCTGTCTCTGTCCACAGCTAGTCTACAGGGACCTGGATTGGGCCTGAGCAGTTTGGGGAAAGAAGGGTAAACTGGGTAAAAGATGGTGGTTGATGAAGAAACATGGGGTCTACCCCTTCATGATACATAGGGGGAGACTGAGGCACAGGAGGGCTGTGACCTGCCACAGGTGCCCAGCAGTTGGGACAGTGCAGGATCTGGGCCTCCTGGGTCTTCATGCTGAGGAGTGATAGGGTCAGGAGTGTAATCCAGGCCAGCTCTGCATGGTGGGGCCCCTTGAGGGGTCCAAGATCAGCCCTTCTGGGCAGCCATACTAGATTCTGGGCTAGTCACAGTCCCTTGCTGTGACCTGCAGCCTCCCTAGCAACCTGGGAAGGTGGGTGGGCTGACTGCATGTGAAGAAGTTGGGATTCAGGTCTCACTGGTGGGTGATTCCTTGGTCCTAAAAGAGCTGTCAGTGCTGGCCTCATCCTCTCAGTGAATCCTCAAGGTGATCTCTGGAGAGGCAAGTGTACCAGCAGGAGGTTGCAGGTCTGCAGGACAGCCTACAGGGTGTCCCACCCTGGCCTGCCAGACACCCCTGTCAGCAACATTTTGGATCCCTGGTTCTCCAGCACAAACCTTACCTTCCTCCTTCATCCTACAGACTTTCCTTCTGATCATTTTATTGGTGAGCACATGCTGGGTGACCAGGTCAGTTAGGCTTGGTCCCTTCCCTCAGCTGGGGGAAGAGAACAGGGAAGGAAGCATAAAGCATTGCTCCAGTCCTGAAACATAAGGCAGGTGTGTGCAGGGACCATTGCTTAGGAACAGAGTGGGCCCAGAGCAGGCCCTGAGAGCTCTGCTGGCAAGAGGGCCAGAAGGGATTACTGGAAGTGGTGATGTTGCCAGGCTGAGCCTTGATTTCTCCAACAGGTGCTGCCTGGCCTTTGAGGGCTCTCCCTTTTCAGGGTCTGGAGCCTCCCAGCCAGCTCTATGGAGGGAGCAGGCTGGGGCTCCCCCACCCCGCCCCTTGCATCTGCGGAAACAGCCTTGCTATTGTTCCGCCTTCTGTCGGAGTGTGAGTTCGTGCTCCTGTGAGCCACAATAAGTAGCTACTCTTCAGCCCCCAGAAGGCCAGCAGCTGCTGCCCCTTCTCCTGGGACTGCTAGCCTCAGAGCTGCTCCTCAGGCCAACCTGGCCCCAGCTGCCCAGAACCTAATTAGGCAGACGAAGTCGGCTTCTGATCTACTTCCCACCAGCTAATTATACACACGTGGGTTGGAGACGGGCAACCTGGCTGCTTCCTTCTGTTGTGGAGGTATGATTGGGTCCCTGGGAAAGGCCCCCTCCACTCAATCTCAGTTTACCCTCTGATTGTAGAGGATGGAATGCAGCCACTATGCCATCCCTGGTGAAATGGTTCTGTTCCTTCTACTGAGGCACTTGAGGAGACCTGAGTGGGGGATACCCCTGTCCTGCCTGACATCCTGGGTATAGGGAAACACAGAGAGGCGAGGAGTTAGACTAGAGGTCCCTGCACTCTAGGATTCTAGGTGGGAACACAGGTGAGAGACGGTGACAGCTGCCACCCAGACAGACAGGCACACAGGAGGGCTAGAGTTGTATGCGTCCATCCAGGCCTGAGATAGAATGCCCCATCTGGATTTTTATCAGTGTAATATTTTTCAATAATACACCCTAAGAAAAAATTTTAAATGGAAAGAATCAATGAACACTTACATACCCACCTACAAATGCACTATTGTTAATATTTTGCTGTATTTGCTCTATCAGAAATCTACCCATCTATCCATTTATCCAACATTTTTACAAAGGGCTTTTGAAGTAAATACAAGCATCATTGGCTTCCCTTCCAGTCACATCAGCACACACGTCACTAGCTACTTTGACGTTTATTTCCAGTTCTTAATGGAGATAAAATGTACAGACAGTGAAACACACAGCCCTTTAAAGGTTTCTCTTGTTGAGTTCAGACTTGTGTGCTATATCCCAGAACCCCCAACCAGGATATGAAGCATTGCCATCACCAGGGGCTGTTTCCTGTGTCCTTCCCCTGGTGACTCATGGCTGCACATCAAGACATATCTGTGTATCTATACAGGTTCAATGGTACTAACATAAAACATCCCCTCACCCATCCTTGCCCTCCCAGCCTCACTCCCTCAAGGCAACCACTTTCAACCCCCCTTTTTTTTTAAGTGAAGGCAAAAAAATTATATTTTACTCTTGAATTAGCATACATTAATAATATGAGGGGATTTCATTGTGATAATTCCACTCATGTGTACAGTGTACTCAGAATAAGTTTACCCCTCCATGATATTTTCATTCTCCCTTTTCTCCCTCCCTCCCAATTTCAACTCTTTAAACTATTTCTTCTGGTACTATCCTTTGTATTTCCAAGTAGCTTGATTTCCTAAAAGACTGTTGATTAATTTGAGGCAAATACTGACTTTCTGGTCTGAGGTCCTCACAGTGTGTGCTATAGCCTGACTACCTAGCCTTGGACTCCAGCCCTTCCTGCCCATATGACCTTGGGCAAGTGACTTGGCCTCCTCCTGCCTTAGTTTTCTCTTCTGTGGTGTGAGTAGTGAGGACATTCAGGTTATTGAATTGTTAGGAGGGTCCAAGTGCCTAGTGCAGCGCACTTGCCCAGTAAGTGGTTCAAGTGTTTCTTTTTGTAATTATCAAGGAAGACGCGGCTTTTACCCATGCCCTTCTTTCCATCTACATGCACTACAAGTCTTCATTAGATGGATATCTGGTGTTAATTTTATTAATACTGCATAGATGATGTTTCCTGCTAAGCTGCCTTGCATATTTTGGTTACAGTTCCTTTTTTGTCTGGCTTTTTGTTCTTCTTGGAGTTACTGCCTCCTTTGCTTTTTTCATTTGCTTAGATGCCTCCTCACCCATCCCTAAATCTCTTAATTCTTGGACACCTCCAATTTCCCCAGAGTTACATTACACAAAGCAGCTCATTTGTTGGTTCCAATTTCCTTCTTGAAACCTTTCAAGTGCTTGTTAAACAAGCCCTCCTTTAAAAATTGGAGACAATTTAAAAAATAGAATCTCTAGAATAAACTTGTAAGATAAGCATCTGTGGGCACCAACTGTGTGCCAGGAGCTGAGCTGGGTATGGCAGCCAGAAGGTAAGTCTCTTGTCTCTAAGAGGGGTAAGAACTGAAGCTGAGGCCCCAGACCTCTCTATTTACCAGGGAACCCCTCTGCCCATCAGGGAATGTCAGACCCTCTGGGAGGCCAGATTTACCCATATAAAATGGAATATGTACCATGTGATTTGGGACTGCACTCTGTTTCTGGGTGCCACGTGTATATATGGTAGTGATCCCCATCCCTTGAGAGGCTCACAGAGGACAGAGATAGATAACAGAAGATAGATGATAGAAGATAGATGATTGATAGGAGATAGATAGATAGACAGATAGACAGATAGATTAGGGAGTGGGCTGTGCTTGCAGGAGAGCAGGAGGACGGGGAGTGGGCTTCTCAGAGGAAGTACCATGGGAAAAGGCCAATCATGATAGGCGGTAGCTATGCTAAGAACTTCTGTTTCTATGCTGGAAGGAAAGATTGCTGACCTGGCTAGGCCATCTGGGAAGCCTGAGATATTTGAGCTGAGATGTGAAGGATACACAGGAGTAACCAGGAGAAGGGATAGAAGCGGAAAAGGATTGTGGATGAAGGACATGTGAAAAGATTCTGTGGCGGGAGGAGGAGATTGTAGGAACAGGGAAAAGGTGGCGGTCATGTGGATCTATGAGAGCCTTCAGATAATGTGAGGACCTATCCTGCCAGGCAGCCTGAACTAAAACCCCATGGCTCAACTGTGCTTGACAAGGTCCTCATGACTTTGATCCTGTTATTCCCCCAGCCTTCCCTTTATCCCTCTGCTGCAGGCATGCTCCCCCTTACTCTCTTAGGAACACACCAGACATTCCTATCTCAGGTCCTTTGCACTTGCTCTTTCCTTGGATTCTATCCTGGATAGCCACATGACTCACTCTCTCCTTCATTCTGTTTTCTGCCCATGACCTCCTCAGAGAGGCCTTCCCTGACCACAGCTGAGCCATCAGCATCCAACAGTGTCCACTTCCCTACCCTGGTTTGTTTTTCTTCCTAGCGCACATCACCTCCTAGAGTATATTAAGTACAGCTGCATTATGTGACTCCTGTCTGTAGCTCACTGGAACACACATCCAGCGG